ATAGGGGCCGTCTCGGTTTGGACCAAGTTTTCCATCAGCCGACTTCCTGTCGGCTGGAAGCACCTTCTTCAGGACCAATTCTCCTGGTGTATAGCGACGCAGCTGAATTCGTTGATTGTATGATTTCGCCAACTGCTGCTGGTACCGTGCCATGAACGCAAGGGCGCGGTCTCTTCGTTCCATGATTAGAATCAAATCCAAAGCCAGCATCATGTCGTTTCGACCTGTGTCAAAAACTTGCAACTTGAGGGTCGGGAGGCCGATCTCCAAGGGTAAGATTGCCTGGTTGCCAAAGCATAAGGCAAACGGAGTTTCTCCAGTTGATCTCCTCTGCGTTGTTCGATGAGCCCACAATACACTCGGTAATTCTTCGACCCATTTGCCCTTGGCTTTCTCTAGCCTTTTCTTGATGCCGTCCAGGATGGATTTGTTCAAAGCTTCGGCCTGACCATTGCTTTAGGGATAAGCCGGCGTAGAAAAATACAGTCGGATACCATATTTGTCGCACAGTTCTCGGTAAAAACCACAATCAAATTGAGTGCCATTGTCTGAAATAAGGGCTCTTGGAATGCCAAATCATGTTATGATGTTCCTCCACACAAAGCGTTTAACATCAATGTCTCGAATGTGTGTTAATGCCTCCGCGTCGACCCATTTTATGAACTAATCTGTTGCGATGATCAAGTATCGCTTATTCCCTGGGGCCCTCAGCAATGGTCCTATGATATCAAGCCCCCAATGGGCGAACAACCAAGGACTAGTAATAGAGTTCAGCTCTTCTACGGGCAAATGGGTTAGTGGGGAGAACTTCTGGCACTATTTACACTTTTTCGCATAACACTCGGCGTCCGCTCTCATTGTCGGCCAATAATACCCCTGCGTTATAGCTGGATGGGCCAAAGAATGCCCGCCAGAATGGGCACCACAACTGCCCTCATGTATCTCAGTCAGAAGCTCCTCGACTTTGTCTGGGTGCACGCATTCCAAATATGGACCAGAGAGGGATTTTTTATAGAGCCCTCCTTGCAGATCTAAGTAGTATCTCATGGCTTTGATTCGCAACTTGTGCGCTTCTTTCTTCTCCTCTGGGAGTTGGTTAGAAGACAGGAAAGCAGCAATGGGATCCAGCTTGGTGCAGATTTTATAACGTTAATCTGGACTTCCTCCGAAGGGCCAATGCTTGGCTCCGGGATGAAACCTACTTCGATAGTCCATTTAATCTCTGAGTTGATGGCGGAGGCTAGGCAAGCCAAGGCGTCCGCATGGGTGTTCTGATCACGTGTTATCTGGTTCAACTCATGATGGTCGAATTTTGCCAACAAGGAATTGGCCGTTTTCATGTAGGCCGCCATGTGGTCGTTCCTTGCCGCGTAATCCCCCTTTAGCTGGTTGATCACTAGTTTTGAATCACAAAACACAAGCAAACGCCGAGCGCCAATAACGTGCGCGTTCCATAAACCGGCTAGGAGAGCTTCATATTCGGCTTCGTTATTTGATGCTTCGAAGCCAAGCCAGACGGCCTGCTCAATTACTGCGCCGTAAGGAGACATGATGACAACTCTGGCTCTACTGCCCTGCTGATTGGACGAACCATCGCAATACAACTGCCAAATATCCCCAACATAAATCCTCTAGTTCGGCTTCGGTCGAATTTCGTCAGGCTTGAAGTCGGTCAGGACACCAGTGAATTCGGCGACAAAGTCGGCAAGCACCTGCCCTTTGATTGAGGTTCTGGGTAGGAATTGGATATCGTATTGGCCGAGTTCCAAAGCCCACTTTCAAACACGTCCGGAAGCTTCTGCACTGTGTAGTACAGACCGGAGGGGATAGTCTGTTAGCACCCCAATGCTATGACCCTAGAAGTAATGCATCAGTTTCCTCGCCGCCATGACTAGGGCTAGGATGAGCTTTTCCAGCGGAAGGTAACGTGTTTCGGTATCAACCATTGCCTTGCTCACATAATACACCGGCCGTTGCTCTCCCAGCTCTTTCTTTATCAGCACGGCACTGACGACCTGGTCGGAAACTGCCAGATACATAATGAGCGGGTCACCAAGAGAGGGCGTTGCCAAGGGTGGTACTGAGAGGAGGTATGTCTTAAGGACGTTGAAAGCGACTTCACATTCGGAGGACCATTCAAAAGCCTTGCCCTGCCGTAGTGTATGAAAGAATTGTCGGCAGCGATCTGTGGAACGGCTGATGAACTTGTTGAGCGCGGTGGCCATTCCCATTAACTTTTGCACCTCTTTTACTGATCGGGGGGAGCTGAGCTCTAGGATTGCTGTGATCTGCCTTGGGTTAGCTTCGATTCCTTGGTGATTGACGACATATGCCAAGAATTTTCCAGAGCCGATTCCAAAGGCACATTTGGAAGCGTTCAGCTTCATTCCATATTTGCGTAGAATGCCGAATGTTTCTTCAAGATCGGCTATATGATTCTGCTTTACCTTTGACTTGACCACCATATCGTCAATGTACACTTCCATTGTGTGATCGAGTTGCTTTTTGAACATGGTGGTGACTAGTCTCTGGTAGGTTATCCCGGCGTTCTTCAGCCCAAAAGGCATAACCTTATAGCAGTAGGTTCCTCTTGGGGTGAGGAATGCAGTTTTCTCCTGGTCCTCTGGATGCATGGCAATTTGATGGTAGCCTCTATAAGCATCGAGGAAACTCATGCGCTGATGGCGTGCTATAGCATCTACCAGTTGGTCTATCATTGGGAGAGGAAAACAGTCTTTGGGGCAGGCTTTGTTTAGGTCTGTGAAATCAATGCAGACTCGCCATGTACCGTTCTTCTTCTTCACAACTACAGTATTAGAGAGCCATGTGGGGTAGGTAACTTCCCTGATTGCCCCTGCATCAAGCAGCCGGTCAACCTCTTCAATCACGGCGGTAGTGTGCTCTGCGGCAGATCGCCGGCTTTTCTGAATGATTGGCTTGCACTTAGGGTCAACATTCAAACGATGCTCGGAAATAGTTGGGTCGACGCCCGGAATTTCATATGGAGTCCATGCAAATACATCAAGATTATCGAGCAGAAACGATACTAGCTGCTGTCTGTCGGCTTGATTCAGGGAGGCGCCGACCATAAAGAATCTCTCTGGATTGCCATCAATCTCAATTCGGTCTAAGTCTTCCGTGGCGTTCTCATTCGGGAGCTGCCCGACATCGTCGAAGCTTTCATGATCCGGTACCTCGATGGAATTAACTTGCAAATCCTTTAGCGTCTTTTCGGAGAGGAGATAGCATACTTGTGCCGATTGTTGGGAACCACGGATCTGCTCGATGCCGTATTTTGTCGGGAAGCGTAGAAGCTGATGATAGGTACTTGGGACAGCCCGATTAGTATGCAATCAAGTTCACCCCATGATGAGATTGTACGGCGAAGGCAGCCTGACGGCCAAGAATTCCACATCCATTGTTCGGGAGCCTGCTCGGACGGGTAGTATGATTTTCCCTAACGGATATTCTGGATTTGCGCTGAAGCCGAATAATGGATAAGGAGCCGGAGACAAGTCTGATTCGTTTAAGCCAAGTTTGATGAAGGTCTTGTAATACATAACCTCAGAAGTACTTCCCTGGTCTATGAGAATGCGCTCGGTAGTAAATCAGTTGACACGTAGTTCAATGACCAGTGGATCAATGTAGGGGACTGTTATGCCGATAAGATCAGAATGTCGAAGGTGATACTCGGAGCTTCATGTGGCCGTTTCACCAGCATGTGTTGCTTCTGGGATGTAGGGTGTGTTTGAATTGTATGCATGGCTGAGGGCGTTGACAAGCTGTATATCATATGGATGACTGCAAGCGGAGGTGATTCCCGCTGAAGTAGAATTGGTCTGGTTGCGCACGTTTGGGCATGGTGCTGGGGCTGAACATCTCGGACCAACTCCTGAAGGTCTTTCAAGGTATAGCTACTGTCACGATCGTGATCTTTGCGATATTCACACCGCCTATCCCTTCTTGTCGTGTCGGGAGGTGCTATCGCTTCTGATGGCCTGGTGTAGAACGAGGGGGCCCACTTTATATGCGGGCTTTCTCCGGAGGAACTGGAAACTTCAGATCGTCCATTCTTCTTGGGATCCGGGATAATAGGTCAGAGTTGTTATCGGTGTCTCGAAGCCGGGCTCGAGGTCGTCGATCACCTACTTTCAGAGGTCGCTCGGGATTTTGAGGCACGGCTTGTTTGGATTTTGCTACCTCTAAAGCCAAATCCTGACGGAAGCGCTCGTTCTCATCGATCAAGTTTTCCAACCTCTGCTCATTTTTCTTTGCCTGCTCCATGATCGCTTGCATTGCCTCATGTTCTGGAGTCGAAGGTGAGGCAAAGTTCAAAATGCGTCTTGCTGGGATACGCTCCGGTCCGTGCGTGTTTGTTGGAGTGAAAACGTCTACCTGCGTGTTTTCATCAGTGACTATTAGAGGGTCCTCCGTCACGTCCGCCATGGATATGCTTGAGTATTTCCACAGATGGCGCCAGTTGTGGGGAAGTGGTTTTTGGAAATACTCTTCTGATCCTGGGGGACGCTCGTGATCCACTGATAGGCACCTGAAAGGAAGTAAACACTCCGGTCGGGGGTGCCGGAATTAGCACTCCGACGGACAAGTCAGTCTCTCGTTCTAGATTACTTGTATTCTAAGTTAAACACCACAATTATCACATACCTCTTTCTGGTTGATGTCTCTTCTATTTATATCTTTTCTTCTTTGGGCCTCGGGATTAGTTCCAAATCCAACCTCCTATTCGGCATATTTTGTAATAAACCGATCTTTACTCGGCCCCTTACTTAATCGACTATCTAGCCGAATAAGGTTGGGTCCTCGTTTCCGTGGCAATGGCCGAATGTTTCGAATCTTGATTCTTCAATGTTCGACTCTTCGAAATCTCTACAACTCCCAATATTCGGCCCCCACAAATTCCTATAAGCTTCAAGTTTAGTTGTCTTTTAACTTCGTCTTCATTTTTTTTTATTTTTTTATTTTTTTGTGCTTGTACACAGGTTTTCTATTATTGGCAAGGGTAATAGCTGTGACATTCTGTGTAACCTTAGCAACATCATTGGCTGCAAGACTCGGTGCAACACGTATGGATGCATTTCAGATTTGCTTACAGGTCTGGATGACCTCGTCGCTTCTTTCTGATGCCTTTGCTATTGTTGGACAGGTATGGCCACATGCTGTTCTTTTTAATTTTTCCCCTTTCGAATATTTGGGAGAAATTCTTCTATTTAATCAGGGAAGACAATGTGAGAAACTCTTTTTTGTGTGTGTGTCTCTCTCTCTAATTTCTGAGAACCAAAAAGAGCCTAACCAAATAACAACGAAACTTCGTATTTTTGTTTTTTTTGTTTTCCAATTGTAACATAAATTGATCAATCAATTATTTTTTTTCTTTATCTCATTCTTCCAGGCTATCATTGCTTGTGCGTTTGCTGAGAAGGATTATGAGAAAGCAAAAGTTGTTGCAGCCCGAGTGTTGCAGGTAAACCATTTTCCAATTCTTAGTGTACAAATCGTTCTCTCAACAAACGCAATTGTTTTGATACCCTCTTCAATTTTCATTATACAAAGCCTAAATATGTTTGGGAGGTTTTATTTTGCAGATGGGATTTGGGTCTGAGGCTCGCTGTAGTTGTTGGACTCCGTTTGCAATTTGGAATATTTACAAATGACAAAAATGTTGTTCACCTCATTAGTATAGGCATTCCAGTAATTCCATCTATTGGCAAAATAACTTCTTTTTTTTTTTTTGCTAAAAAAAAATAAAGCAAAAAAATATTTGTTTTCATATGTCAGTATTTTTACTTATTTCGTGAGTCTAAACTGAAATTTATGATATACTCCCATTAGTTTGTAGCAGCTACGCAACCAATCAATTCATTGGTCTTTGTTTTTGATGGTGTAAACTTTGGAGCATCAGATTTTATTTATTCTGCATACTCCATGGTGAGCATACTAGTGTTTCCTCTAGACAAAGAACAAAAACATTTTTTATTTTTATACTGTCTATATAAAATCCTTTTTAACTCATAATTTTATTGTATCATCAGGTTCTGGTATCTGTAGTGAGCATTGCGTCTTTATTCCTTCTCTGGAAAAGCCACGTTTTTGTTGGAATATGGTTTGGTTTAACCATTTTTATGGGTCTGCGTGCATTTTATGGGATTTTGAGGTAATTTCCTTTGTTATTTCTGTGAATAAATAGTCCTTTTCAAGTAATTTCCCAGTTCAAAGCTGATCAAATTTCAGAAGGAAACTATAAATTGGACCACTTTTCGCATTGGCACATTTATACTCAAACCCGCCACTTTTCCTATTCTTGTTTCGTAATCATGTATTATGCTTATTTTCCATTAAGTTAGTGTTGTTGTCCCCAATTTTTGCAGAGTATAACTCAAAGTTGTTGCAATCTACCAATTACATTACCAGGCGACAAGCTGTCAAGTTAGGATGAAAGTTTGAGATTTTATTCGAAAATATGTAAATAATTAAAAATAATAATAATTAGACATCTCAATATTATCCTAGGGAAAATGCAATTTTGTCTCCAAAATTGTACCCTTCATGGATGATAGGGATTTGAATAGCTTGATGATGTATCACTTTCTTGGTTTGTATGTTTGAGGGTGTTATCAGCTTGTTTAAAGTTGTATTTTAGAGATTAGTGAATCTTATGATTTGGATACTTTTCTTAGTTTGTATGTTTGAGTTTGTTATCAGTTCGATATGATAGAAGTTGAGGATGGAAGTTAGTATGCAAGTTATTTGATGTATGGATATTAGATTTTTTTTACTTATTTCATAGTTGTTGCCTCTGTATATATATGTATATTATATTTTAAAAATAACCTTCTACGACATATAAAATTATGTCATAAAAAGTGTAATGATTTATGACATGGAAGAAAATGCCGTAAAAGATTATATATGGCATACAAAGCATGTCATAAATATATTAAAAATGACCTTCTACGGCATACAAAATTATGTCGTAAAAATTGATGATTTATGACATGCAAGAAAATACCGTAAAATATTATATACGGCATACAAAGTATGCCATAAATATATTCAAAATAACTTTCTACGGCATGCAAAATTATGTCATGGAAAATATAATGATTTATGGCATAAAAAAAATTGTCGTAAAAAATTATATACGACATACAAAGTATGTCATTAATGTTTAATTTTTTACTTTTTACAACTTTACCTATATGTCGTAAATAACGCTCAACTTTCCACGGCATGTCATATAACAGCATTTGTGTGCATGCCGTGAAAGAGTTTTTACGGCATGCATTGTGAGCCGTAAAAATTCAATTTTGTTGTAGTGTAAAGAACATATTATTGATTTGTTGAAACTGTAAAACCTATGCTATTCTATTTAGCTGCTATCACTCAATCATTTTGTTTGTATGTGTCTATCTATATATTGTTTGATGATAATAATAATAATAATAATAATAATAATAATAATAATAATAATAATAATAATAATAATAATAATAATAATAATAATAATAATAATAATAAATGTATATATATATATATATATATTTAGGTTCTTATTTATTCTCTTACTTTTGTCATTATTTATTTTATATATAATAGTTAATGATGGATTTTTTGTATAACATAAAGTCATTAATTATTAAAATAACATGTAAAAAATTCAGTTTATAGTGATTTAAAAATATAAAATATATTGGATCATACTTAAAAATTTACAAAAATTGATCAATATTTATTTTAAACCCAATAAATATGATTATGGAAAAAAAATATGCGTATTGGTAAGTTTTTTTTAAATTGTGCAAAAAATAAAAAAAATCACGGTTCCGGTTACTGCAACCGTTACGCTACGGCCTTTACACCCCACAACCGCAACCGCGCCACCGCCACCGTTACGGCGAGCGCAACTGCTTTTCAGAACCTTGGACATACCGTATTCTCCCCCTGTCGGTGAAGACCATGCAGAATGTACATATAGATAACCTCATCAAGATCACCATGCAAAAATGCATCGTGAACATCCATTTGATGGATGGGCCAATTGCAAGAATCAGCCACCACGATGAGACAGTGGATAGTGGTAAGTTTGGCAGTGGGAGAAAAAGTCTCCAAATAATTAACTCCTTCAATTTGAGTGTAGCCCTTAGCAACAAGGCAAGCCTTGTAACACTCAACAGAGCTGTCAGATTTGTATATGATCTTGTAGACCCATTTGCAGCCTATGGATTTGTGACCGGTAGACAGTGGGACAAGAGACCATGTATTATTGTGAGCAAGGGCATCAAGTTCAGTTTGCATTGTATCCCTCCATTTCAAATCAAGAATTGCTTGAGAATAGGTAGAGGGCTCACGGAGACTAGAAATGGAAGCAGGAAAAGAAAAATGGGTAGAAGAAAGATTGGAAAAAGATAAAAAATTAGAGAGAGGGCGCCTTGTACCTCGGGGCGGAGCTGACGACGGAGAGGATGAGTGAAGTAGAGGGGTGTGGACAAAGTTCATGTTGTAGTCAGCATGCCACACAGGTTGTGTATGAGGTCGGGTAGAGTGACGAGTAACAATAGTTGGTGGAGAAGGGGGAGCGGGTAAATGTGTGAAAGGTGGGGCAGTTGGAGCAGGGGAGCTGGGAGAAGTAGGAGGGTGAGCGTGGTTGGGCGGATGTGGGATATTTGGGGCAAGTGGGTTGGCAGGTGTTGGTAAAGATGGGGTGTAGCAAAGGTCGAGGGTAGGTACAATCGGTGGAGAAGAAGATTGTCTATACAATACAAGAAAAGTAAGAATTAACGGCGTTGATTTGACGGTGTTTAAAAAAACGCCTCTGTTTCTAATTTTTTACGGCATTTTTTTAAACGTCGCATTCTTATTGACTAATACGACACCGTTTTAACTTCTGAAAGCGCCTTCAAATGTTTTTCGCCTTTTTTTTTAACGTAAATAGCCTATTCTCTCTCTCTCTCTCTCTCTCTCGCTCTCACTGTACCCTTGATTTCACTCTCTTTTGGTTCAAACTCTTTCGTTTCTCTCGATTCAAACCCCTTCATTTATTAATCGATTAATCTGCAACCCTTCTCTTCAAGTATTCGATTCACCCCTTCATTTATTCGATTCAAGTATTCGTAGATCATCGATTCGCAGATCATAATGTGCCATCTCAAGTTCGTGTTCGAGTTCGCAGGTCTTTCTTCATGGTAAGTGTTGATCAGTCTCGTCTCTATCTTCTCACATTCAAGTTCAATTGAAGATGATACTTACTGAAATCATTCGATTTAGGTATGCTAGGTTTTGTCTACTTTATCATTCTTAGATCAGATTGATTGAAGATCTATTGATCGATTGAAGGTGATTTGGAAGTTCAAACTTCTTCAGCTCGGTGATTCAATCTCAGATTCATTCAGCGATTTCGAAGTTCTCTCTCGATTTCAAAGCTCAGTGATTCAATCTCAGATTCGTTCGGCGAGGATAGTGAGCACCATCATCTACCAAGGTGAAGACCATCGCTTCAGAAAATCTCAAGCTCTATATCTCTCTCTCTCTCTCCCCCTCTCTCTCTCTCAAGTTCTTCCTTCCCGTCGATTCTTCTCCTAGGGTTTTCAATCAATGTTTTGAAGAATTTTAATCTCTGTTTTTTATTATTCAGTTTGGATTGATCAATCAGTGTTTTACACATCTCATTTATTTTCCCCAGATCCCCAGAACTGATTTTTCAACCAGTGTTTTTTATTTTTTACTCTATTTTTTTATTACCCTGTTTTAAACCCTAAATTACCCTGGTTCAAAAGGACCTGTTAGATCTGGATACTATTGAACTAACAATATGTCTGTTTTCCAAGAATATTGTATTTTACTATTGAGCTCTTGTTGTCCTACCCAGATATTTGGCGGTGTAGGCATTGCTTGTCTGCTATTCTTTCGGCGTCCAAAAGCTGTTATCACTCATTCACAGTATATTAAGGTACCTTTTGCATTGTGCTTTATGTATCCATATGAAATTACCTACTTCTGCCTTCTGTATCAACGTAATGGTTATTTGCATGTTCAAGTTGATTATAGGCAATTGACTCGATAATTTGTAGGAAGCAACTGAACTAGGTAAGAAGGCAAGAGAATGGAAGAAAGCAGCTGATGCGCTTCGTCAGGAGGAAAAGAGTGGCTCAAAGGGAAGGAAGTGGCGTAAAAATGTAAAGACAGTAGAAAAGGTATTAACCTTTATCAGTATTGTTAGCTGAAGGGTGCCTTGCCATGGCTAAAAAGGAAGGTGCATGGTTTATGTCCACCCTAAGACATAGCAAGAAAATTGGTACATCTTATAATTTGGTGTACTTCAGCCCAAAGTTGGTTTTGCAGATGATGTATGGTCTAAGATACAATATGTTGAATTTGAATATCGTTTTTGAGATCTGTAAAAGCTTCTTTTCTTCTGTTAAAATGTTTGCATCAGAAATTAATGTCATGAATCATGATCCAACTACAAGATTGTTTTCATTTAAGACATAACAATTGATAATTACAATTACAAGGTTTCCTGCTTTTTTTTCCAATTGCTATTATATGCTTAGGGGTGTTTAGGGTTTGTAGAAATTACATCATTTTTAATGAAATTTGAAGTTTACATTGTTGGTTGACTTGTCTATGTATCCATGGTTAGATAGATTGGAATCGGGTACTGACTTATTCTTAACCTTGTAGGAGCTGCTTCTTCTGGAAGAAGCTGTAAAGGCTTTAGAAGAGATGTATTCTCAAGGTGAAAAGGTGATGGTTTGAAATTTTTTTAATGTGCTGACCTGCACATTTTTTCAAAAGTAGTTTTTTAGAATATGTTTTCTGAAAAAATTTCAATAAAACAAAAAACTAATTTGATGAAAGAAATGAAAAAATAAAAAACACTCATCATTTTTATATGGTTTTATCTTTTTTTGGGTGTAGAAGTAATTTTTAAAAATCTGAAAATATTATTTTTGATGTTTCTTTTTGTCAAACTAATTTCTATTTGAAAAAAGAAAAAAGAAAAAGAAGAGAGATCTGATTTTGTCTCCTGACTTTGCTGCTTGATTCATTCAGGCGGAGACTGCATGGGCCATGACTATTCTTGGATACTTGGTCAAACTAGTGTTGGGGGTTTTAGGGTAAGTGCGAATTTTATGCATATCATTAATTGTGACTTTGACAAACAAAATGTTATTTTGATTTCCTTGAAACTGTCATTTTTTGGGGTCTCTGTAGAAAATTTTAGATGAAAATTGTGTTATCACACCAAAAAAATAAAAAATAAAATAAAAGGAATTTAAAAACATTTCTTATGGATAACATACAGATGATGTTTAGTTTCTAGTTATTTGTTCTGGCCTTTAATTTTAAACGCAATGTATTTGGGGATAGGGAGCTTGCTTTGATGTGTATGACGTATTATATTTCTTATGGGGATATTATTGGTGGGTAAATATAAGATGATCTACATCTCTTTTGTGTTGATTGTATTTGCTTTCTCTTTTTATTATCATATGCGTTTCTCCTATACCTTACTTCGCACTCCACTATTCGTTTGTTCTTGGCATTTAGTTTAGGTGTGAAAAGAGTCCAAATTCTCTCTTTGGAGCATGAACAAACAAGAAAAGTTCTGTGTTCTAACTGTATGGAAATTCCTTGAAAGTTGAAGGACCTTGAAGGCTGAAAGACCTTAAAAAAAAACATTGAAATGCAATTTTGATGGCACCGTTAATACACATTAATAACATTGGCAAATCACCTAATTAGTTTATGGTTCTCTCTTAGATGATTTTGTTTGAACACTGTAGTTATTGAATTCTATAATGTATGCTAGTTTAATACTAGTTATGACATGGAGATTTTGACACGGGTCTCTGATTTAAATTACAAAGTAACATTTTGTGCATACTGTTATAGGGGGATTGTGCATGATAACTATGTTATTTGCTATGCTTCAAGCTAATATTAGCATCAGAACTTCATGAGATATCATAAAGCTCTGTGGCTGTGTTGGCTGCATTTAATCAGGGATTTGAAAACTCGATTGTAGTGTTGTTCTTATCACAAGTGTGCCAAGGCAGTCGAGTGGCTGCGCTATTGCTCAGGACTTCAACCCATGCAGTTGTCATTTTCTTTTCTTCTTCCCTGCTTCCACAACTTGACTCTGTCAGTCCATATAGTAATTAGTTGAGTTGAGAGCTCCAGAGATGGTGAAATATACAGGGAAGACTCAATGTCTGAAACATTTCCAAGAGGAAATATTAGTTTGCTTTTTCCCTGGTGAGATTTTTCAAAAAGAATATTTGGAAAATTGGGGAAAAGTTAAGTTCATCTCTTTTCTTTTTCTTAACTCAATTGTGACATCGACGTAGCCGTAGGTGTAACAATTTTGAGGTGTGTCTGACAAAGGTTGGGAAGAGTCCCATGAGTTTCTTAGAAGTGTTGGTGTTTCTTTGCATTCACTTATTTAAAGCAATATTCTAAGCAAAGCCTACATAAGACACGTTGGCTTATCATATTGATTGGTTTAGTTTTCCTCTTTCTTTATTAGCATCTTAATTGAAATAATATAATTCTAAGAAGTATGGACATGTCTAAGAAGGTGCACGTTCGTGTTTGACATGTATTTGACACACATTCATTGGACACTTCCTAACATGTGTTAGACACATAGGAAACGCATTATAAGTCTAAACAAATAACTTAGAGGATACAATGATAAAAGAAAAGCAATGTAATTTATATCTATTAATCCCTTATCTTTTAAACATTAGGAATTAATATTATGTTGTATTTTATTATCTTTGAATGAAATATTGGTATATATGACATATAATAAATATCTATAAACTTGTATACTTATGTGCATCTCCCACATGTGGTGCCCTGTATTTTTCTAAAATTGATGTGTTGGTGTGTTTGTATCGTGTCACGTGTCCATATTCGTGTATGGGCTTCTTATATATAATTCTTCCTTGCCAGGACCCTTTTAAGATTTATATGCATGACATGTGACTATAGTTGCTCATCATGTTTCGGGTTAGTTTTAGTTAGTGCCAAGCCCAAAACCAAAATGGCCAAATTTAGTTCTTAAAAAATGAAATCATGTTCAAATTGACTATGATATGATCATATGAACAAAACTGAAATCACGTTCAAAATGAAGTTGAGATCAGGTTGGTTGGGGTTGGTTCTCTTAATTGAGAAGGATTTTGTAGAAACTGCAGTTGTGTCTCTCAATACTATAATCCAAAATTAATTATAGATATAGAGAATCCTTCACCCTCATTAGCTAAAGTGAGCGGAATTTGTAATTGTTTCTCATGATTTACATAGCTGCTTTGATTTTTTGCCCAAATATTTACACCGAAACCATCCAAAATGAGCAACAAAAACCAAACCCTTCAAATAAATAAATAAATTTGAAATAGATCATATTATATTATCAAAGAACAAGGAGAAAAACTAAGACAACTAGGAAACTAAATAAATTAGTAAATAAAAAAAAAGAAGAGAATGAAAGGGGAGAGGGAGTTGAAGAGGATAGAAATAAGAGAAAAGAAGACGCTAAATAAATTAAAATGAAAACTCCTTGTTTGGTTGTTGGGTTGTTGGAATTGGCCATGAGAAAAATAAGATGCCAAATACTATGTAATGGAAATTACTTACACGAAGAACTTGTGAGTTCAAATGTGGAAAACTTTATATACATAAAACTAGGTTAGTATTTTCTTATTGATTTTATGTTTAAGTTACAAGGTTAGAATCTAGGGGCACTAATGTTGAAGCATGAAAGAAGCCACAAAGGTTTGGTCTGTATTGTATCTAGTCCACCTTTCATAGCTTCTGTAATTAACAGGGCAAACATGAATATCCGCATAAATCAGCCTTCAAGTTATTATTAGTTACACATGAGATATACCATTTATTTGGTACATACGAGTAGTGGAATTATATTTGGTAATCTTCTGAACTCTGTGAAATGATACTCATGGTTCCTCTGCTTGAATTAGGTTAGGGCTGCTTGCAAGTCCTTGCCCTTGACATTGTACCTTTACTTTTGTTAAGTTTTGACCCTGAACTATTTAAATAGCTATTAAACTTCTTTGATTGTTCTATTCTTACTGTTGTACAGGAGAAGGAATAGTCTGCTCTTCGTGCATAGAGCAGCTCTGTTAGAAGCAGCAAAAGCCAGGCTAAGATTACTAAAGAAAGCGTGCCCAAGACTGTGAAGTTCCAACCCTTCATCCAAGAAGAAGCCTTAGTTAGTATACACAATGTATGTATAATTGTTTTGCACTATCCTTGAGTATTTAATTTCTTTACGTTTCGTGTTAATATTATCTATGTTAATTTCCCTCAGGATGTTTTCCCAAGTATAGCAGAGCAATTCTTTGACCTAGTGTTGAATAATGACTCAAATTTTATAAATGAGTATCGTTCAGTCCGAAAGGACACTAACCTTACTGTAAGTACCAAGATTTTATGTTGATAATGTTTATTTGTCTTTTGAAATTTTATGTTTTCGATTGGTTAAATAGTTTTTGCATGATGATCAATTTGGGAAGTTTTCAATCTTCAGCTTGTACTCCATTAAGATATTTGGTTTCTTCTTGCTAGTCAAGCAGAGTGCAGTAGTTTCATTTTTAACATCAAAATTTAATGCCGGATATTTAACTGGAAACTCCACATATGTTGTCCTAACCTTAGTTGTGACTTTCTAGTTACTCTAGTGGTGTTGTTTTTTTTCATTAAACTTTTGCAAGTTGATAATTTTTGCACCCCACAAAATAACTTAATAGTAAAAGTTTTGTTTCGACAACTTCACCTTTTATGCATGCCCTCTGCAACAGTCAACGATTGAAATCAGACTTAAAGATTAGTGCATGGTTTTAAACAGTGGTATTAGAAGACGAGTCGATATCAATCGTGGTGTAGCAGTGTTGGGACTACCAAGCATTACACATCAAGAGTCGAATTATGCAGTGAATTTGTTAAAATTATCAGTAACCTCAATTTGTCAGATTTAATCAATATTTTGATATTCTAAAATTAGAATAGAAATTTACATAAACACAGTACTCTAGTAATACAAACTTATAGCCCATGATCAACCAAGGTCAAGCCCCGCCATGAGATGTATCTGAATTATTTAAACCCTAGGGTTGACTGTAATTTCTGTTTAACAAACTGCTTCTAATTAATCTAAAATATTTTGTATTTTCTTTTATGCTAATTTTAGATTGGTCCGTGGCATGACATTGATGAATATGATGGCCAAGTCAGAGAGATAAAATTGAGGGCCCTGTGTAACAGTCCTATGTGCCCTCCAGATACAGCAATGACAGAGTGGCAGCATGCTGTTTGGTCACCAGATAAGAAACAGCTGGTGCAACTACTTATTTTATGTCCTAATTCAATTAGTTTTCTGCAATATATGTTTTTGTAATTAATTTCTCTAGTTTTTTTATTTTTATTTTTTTTGGCTCTGAAATTAGATTGTTGTTGTAACTAATGCACTGTACATCCTATATTCTCCTCCATTAGGTGTTTGAGACTGTACACAAGCGCACGATGTGCCATTTGGGTCTTACTTTGAGGTATCAATATTTAGTTCCAGTAGCCTAGGCATTGCTCCTTGCTCTACTGTCACATTGATTATGTAGTTTTTCTAGTTTACGGTAATTCATTCAGTTTGGGTAATGATTCTTCGTTAAATTTAGGTAGATGTCGGCATCAACAGGTAGTGATGATTCTTCTTTTTTATGTTGTAATACTTAAAAACTTCTATTAGATAACACTTGTATTCATGTTGAATTGCAGGAAACTGAGGAGATGATTGCCAATGTTCTTGGGGTAGAAGTTTTTAGGCAGACAATTGCTGGTAACATTCTTGTGGACAACTATTGTGCCTTCTCCAATAAAGGTGGCCTGGTAAGAAATTATATCCTGCATCTGTGGCAATCTTATCAAACATCAGGTACCAAAATTTTATCTTCTTTTGTTGTCCCATTTCTAATGGAAATTGTGTTGGAGCAGGTCCATCCTCATACATCCATTGAAGACTTGGATGAACTTTCAACCCTCTTTCAGGTCCCTTTGGTGGCAGGGACTGTGAACCGTGGTAGTGAAGTGATAGCCGCTGGCTTGACAGTTAACGACTGGACAATGTTCTGTGGATCAAATACTACATCAACAGAATTGTCAGTCATTGAGAGTGTCTTCAAGTTGCGAGATGGTGATGTCGGAATTTCAGGAGATGGCTACAGGTGGCGCAAGTATGGACAAAAAATGGTAAAGGGAAATCCTCATCCCCGGTGTGTGCCTATCTTTCAGTTTAACCTTTTCTCTAAATCCTTCATTTCCATTTACTCTGCAACATTTTGTGTATTCATCATGTCATAAATTACTGTAGTTTTGATATGTGAACAGGGTCAAGCTTCAGAATAGGCGCTGCTGAGACGTCATTCATCTGAAGAATTGTTTGGGGTTCAGATATGTAGGGCATATCCTGACACAGTTGCACGGATAGTTGAACTTATAGATCAGGAATGTACAGTGGACTTCATCGATATCAATATGGGGTGCCCAATTGATATTGTTGTTAACAAAGGTGCTGGATCAACTCTTCTTACAAAACCAACGCATATGAAAAGCATTCTACAAGCAGTTTTTGGTACAATTGATAGACCTATTACTGTCAAGGTACTGAGTAACATTTCATATAATTTTAACTTCTGTTTAATGCCTAATAAAATGGTAAACTTTTTAAAAAGAAAAGTCTCAAGTGAAGATCCATCAGTTTATGTTGTTTTCAGATGATATAGTTTTATTGTTTTAGTTAATGGGACTATAGGAGTGAACTTTAAGCTAGAAATTGTGGAGAGAGAATTTAGAATCTAAATGTTCTAGGTTACGTAAGGCTTCAGACAAAATATGTATGTAATTTTAGCAAAAGTAGAAATAGAAATGGAAATAGAGTAAAACTTGTTGGCTTCTAGATACATAAGAATGACCATTCCAATATTTGGAATCATTATGCATAAAGAAAGAGAGGTTGAAAAGGATGTAGCCCATAGAACTAGAGTAAGATGGATGAAACTTCATTTGTTCTTTTCCTGATTGTGATTGAGCTTGTCTGAGACTGATATGCATTCTGTTGTTTGTTGTTACTCGAGGTACGAACAGGTTATTTGGAGGGAAAAAACCGCATTGATTTGTTAATTGAAGATATTGGAAAATGGGGAGCCAATGCGGTAACGATACATGGGCGATCACGTCAGCAATGCTATAGCAAGCTTGCTGATTGGGAATACATTTACCAGTGTGCAAGAAAGGCTCCCGATGCTTTGCAAGTCCTGGGGAATGGTGATGTCTTTACATATTTAGACTGGAACAGGCACAAGTCTGATTGCCCTAACCTTTCTACATGCATGATTGCTCGTGGAGCATTAATTAAGGTTCGCATTTGGATCTTTGGCTTGCTTTTATTTGTTTTATTATGCTGCAATTTATATCCACATAATATGTTTGTGTATTTTTAAACACTACTGTTTGAATTCTCTGGCTTTTGTAAAACATGAATATTATATGTTGTTCTTTGCAGCCTTGGATATTTACTGAAATCAAGGAGCAGAGGCACTGGGACATAAGTTCTGGGGAACGTTTAAATATTCTGAAGGAGTACGTTCGCTTTGGACTAGATCATTGGGGTTCTGATGCTAAAGGAATATGATGAAGCTTTTTTTATTTGTTCTTGTTCTTTTACCTTTTTCCCCCCTCTAATTCTTTTTATCTTGTTTAATTGGATTATAGTGTACTGTATGGTTCCAAATGTATCATCTGTTGCGTATCATCTGTTGCATATAGTTTAGGCTCATCTTTGGATATAGTTGGAAGACAAGTGGCATTTTTAATATTATAAGTCATATTAGTGTGCTTTCTATTTCTTTTTAATTTTTTTGGGCTTCTTGACCATTTTGATTTTAATTGATGTATTTAAAGTCTAAATTGTTGCTATTCTTAGGTATGCAATGCATTGTTTCTTATTTTTAATTTTGTTTTCAAGCTTAGTTTATTTATTATTTTAATAAACATCAATTATTAGTTTTTAATAATTGTTTGACAGGTATTTTTTTTTGTTCAACCATATAAAATTAACAAAATTTAAAAATTAAAAAAAAGGCTGTGGCGGCGTTTAAACGTCGTCACTATATCCTACCCTAACGGCTAGATATTTAAAATGTATAAATATCTATGACGGCGTTTTCAAAAACGTCGCTAAATGTCATAGTGATGTCATCGTACAGTGAGGTAGGACATTTGGCGGCGTTCGACGTTTTTCAAACGTCATAAAGTTATAGCGACGGCCGCGTCATCGACGTTTGGTACTAAACGTCACAAAAAGAATTAGTGACGTTTTTAGTACTTTTAGCAGCGTGTTTTAAACGCCGCTAAAAGTGGATTTTCCAGCAGTGATAGGGGAAGATATGTTCAAGAAAATGGACATCCCTACTAACAAAAATTTTGTGAAAATCTAAATCAAATAATTCGTAACCATTTTGTCTTGTAGGATAACCCAACAAAGCACAATAAAGAGCTCGAGGATCGAATTTAGTATCATGTTTGACAATGGTAGCATAACATAAACAACCAAAAACACGAACATTGTCATAAGATGGTGGAAAATGATATAAGCGCTCACAAGGAGTAACGTGAGAAAGGAATGGTGTAGGCATATGATTTATTAAATAAATAGCCATTGACACACACTCACCCCAAAAGCGAACGGGTACATTAGATTGAAAACGGAGAGCATGAGCTACTTGCAAAATATAGTGATGCTTGCGTTCGACAACTCCATTTTGTTTGGGTGTGGAAACGCAAGAATGCTGAAATTCGATTCCTTTAGTGATAAAAAATGAACGGAAAGAAATAAATTCACTATCATTGTCACTTCGATTTAATATGTATGTTAAATTGGTTGTGAACAAAGGTAAAAAATGATGCAAGTAATGAAGGAGCATCAGATTTATGTAACATAAGAAATAACCATGTGCAATGAGTAACGTCATCTATAATGGTTAAAAAATAACAAGCACCAGAGTGGGTTGGATTTTAATGTGGACCCAAATATTACAATGTATTAATTGAAAAGGTAAAGTAGAGGAAATTGCACTAAACTAAAAAGGTAATCTTGTCTATTCAGCTAATGGACAAATATTAAAAAAAATATCAAAAAGGGGCATGAATAGAAGAAATGGACTTAGAAAGGAGACGTAGACAAACAGGAGACGGGTGGCCAAGACGATGGTGCCAGGTAGCATCGAGAGTGGAAGCATGGAAAGCGGTTAGACCACCACTTTGCTTACCCCAGCCAATCATCTTCCCCGTAGCCAAGTCCTGCAAAACACAGAAATTTGAGAACAAGAGTACACAACAATTGAGGGATTTGGTAATCTTACTGACAGATAAAAGATTTAGGCAAAAAGAAGGATCATGAAGAACGTTCTTTACCACAATGTCTTTGTTGAATAAAAGCGCGCCAGTAGAGTTGATGGGTACGGTAGAACCAGTGGGTAAAGTGACAAAAGGTGTCTTAGGTAGATGAGAATGGATGAATAAAGAAGAATCAAAAGCAATATGGTCCGTGGCACCACTGTATAAAATCCACTAATTCGAGAAAATGGAATTAATAGAGGGATGATTGCACTGACCTGCAACATTTGCGGTAACATCATTATTACCCTTGGACAAGTGTCGTGTATTTACCATGGCAGTGATCAGCTGTTGATATTGCTTAGCGGAAAGACCTGAGAGGGACGGAGTTGAACCATTGGCAGAGGTAGCATATGCAGCAGGAGGATTACCATGTGGCTGATTTTTGTGTCCCTGCTGGAGGCTTTTTGGTTTAAAATTGGGATCATGACGTGGGCGTCTAGGTGGGAACCCATGTAATTTATAACAGGTTTCAATTGTATGTGTCTCATTTCCTCAATATCTGTAAAATAATCCTTCAGTATTGGAATTGGGAGGAAAAGATGAGTTACAGGAGGACTTGTGATTGAAATTGGAGCCTTTAGAAAGCCGCATAGTAGCAGCTGAAAAAGTTTTGGTGAGCAAATTGCTCCCAATTTCTCGCTGTTTCTCATCCTGGGTTACCATGTTGTAGGCTTCTTGCATATCGGGTACCGCCTGTAGAAGTAGTATTTGGCCTTGAATGGAATTGTAAGAAACGTTGAAGCCCATGAGAAACTGCATGAGCCGATCCTCATTATGATGTGCATGCCTCTTATTTCCTTCACCACATTGACAACAATCGCACGTGGACGAAAGACGATAAGAATCTAACTCAACCCAAAAACCACGTAACTTTGTGTAATAGTTTGCAACTGACATAGTTCCCTGAACATGTAAAGCAATGGAATGCTTGATTTGAAATATTCGAGGTAGATTTTCTTGAGGCAAATGGGCTCGAAAGTCATCCCAAACATGTTGGGCTGTGGAAGCAAAGAGGACACTCGGAGCAAGATTGGGTGATACCGAGTGAGAAAGCCATGAAATCAACATATGGTTGGCTTTTTCCCATAGGTCGAACTTATCTGGATTGGTAGACCTGGAAGGCTTTTTGAACCTCCCGGTAATAAAACCTAGTTTGTTCTTAACAGAAAGAAAAATTTCAATGGTCCTGCTCCATGTTGCCCAATTTTTGCCATCTAGCAATTGTGAGCAAAGCTTGGTCATTGAATTATTTGAGTGATGGAAATAATAACAGCTTGGCAGGTCAAGGCCTTCTTTTAGATTAGAACCAGTAATATCGGTAGTATCTCCCATGGTTGGCTGGAAGAGAAAATGAAGGGTGACTGAAGGTAAAAAAAAAAGGGTTTGAAAACCTTGCTCTGGTACCATGTAAAGTTTACAAGAAGAAGGAATGGGAAAATATTGCTATATTTCTAAAAGAATGTTTTACAAGGACACATAACTGATTATAATATAGAGAGAGAGATTTGAGTGTTTCGCCTTCAGCGACTAGGGCTTTTCTCCAGCTGGTCGTCATCGAGCTCGTACTCAATCTTGATTTGTTCTCTATCTCAGATCAGAGCATTATCATTCTTCAATTCTCTTCTTCCATCTTCGATCTCTCTGCAAATCTCTCTCTCTCTCTTAAAACTCTGTTCAGATCTATCTGAGTTCGATCATGGAGTTGGAATGTATTTGAGTCTAAAAATTGAGCTTGAATAGAGTTGTGTGAGGAATGGAGAACGGAGGATGGATTTTGGTATTGAATCAGAGAGGGAGTAAAGGAGGATGAAGAAAGGAAGCTAATGCAAGATTATTCACGATCTTTGTTGATGATCTACCCAGATCAATGAACTTGAAGATGTTGGGGGAAATATTCAGGAAGTTTGGAGTGGTGAAGGATGTCTACATTCCTTTCAAGAGAAGGAGAGTGAGGAACACTAGGTTTGCTTTTGTCTGGTATGATTGTGAAGTGGCAACAGAAGTAGCAGTGCAGAAGGCTAATGGGATATGGGTGGATGTTAAGAAACTGGTAGTGAAGCACGCAGATTATGGTAAGAAAGATATGGAAGTCAAAACCCGATATCCTCCTCAAACAAAAGGTTTTCTACATGGTGGAAGGGGTGAGGGCAGTGTGTGGAAGCCAGCAGCAGGTGTTCGGACGTACGCAGAGGTCATTAAGAATAGTCATGGTATGGAAAGTGGAATTGTGTCTGTCCAGGCAGAGGAAGTCGGAAACGGGTGGCTATATGAAAGTGTGGTGGTTCGTCTTAAAGTTGAATATGCCAATGTTAAGATTAAATATGAATTACAGCAGAGGGGCATGGAGAATGTGGTAGTGAGGGATGAAGGAGGAAGAGATATGTTGTTAACTTTCAACTCTAAGGAGTGTATGGAGGATAGTTTGGGAACTGTGAAGGAATGAATAGGGGATTAGTGCGAGGAAATTGTGATATGGAATCCTGATGTTCACAGTGGAGGTGAACGTAAGGTGTGGGTCTGCTATTTTGGGATCCTATGGAGTTTATGGAATAGAACAACTTTAAATAGAATTGGGAAGGTATGGGGGTGGTTATTTGTATTGAAGGTGATATATGCAATCCAGAATCGTTTGAATATGCAAGGATTCAAATTTTAACAAAGTGTATGGAGCCTATTAATAAAGTAATTAATTTGGAGTGCAAAGGGTATTCCCAAACTGTGAGAGTGTGGGAACATTTATCTGGGGTACCACAGATATTGGCTGGGAGGACTGAGAGCTCTATGGAACACAGAGGGGTAGGAGTCTGCCATTCGAATAATGGTGAGAAGGTGGGTGTAGAAGTTATGGCGACTGATGTGGCTATAGAAGATGATGATCGGGATGGTGAGTCAGCTAGGGAGCTGGACCAATCGAAGGAGGTGTGTATTGGTGTTGGGCCAGAACGAGTGAGGTGTAGCGATGAGGTGCAGATGGGGTCACCAAGGCAGTCTGAAACTGTGGTACCAGAGTCTACTGGCAGTGAGTTTGAGGGTAAAGCAGATAGCATTATGGAAGTAGCTGGGAGCATAGGCAACGACTGTGAGTTGGTAGGTTAGAAAAGTAAGGAGCAGGTTGTCATGAAAGGTGCTGTTAAAAGCTTGAGTGGATCTAGTTTGCTCAAAACGGGGGTCCATCTGGAGGTGGTGCTGGGTCGGAGTAATAGGGTGGGCCTATGTAATGGGCCTATG